ATGCAGGACCTTGCACTTGGCCTTGTTGAACTTCATGAGGTTTGCATGGGCCCACCTCTCAAGCCTGTCAATGTCCCTCTGGATGGCACATCCCTTCCCTCCAGTGCATGGACTGCACCACACAGCTTGGTGTTGTCAACAAACCTGCTGAGGGTGCACTCAATCCCACTGTCCATGTCACCAACAAAGATGTTAAAACAGCAACTGGTGTCAACACTGACCCCTGAGAGACACAACTCATCACTGATCTCCACTTGGACATTGAGCTGTCCTGTGGATGCATCTCATCAGGCCCCACAGACCTGGGCACCTTCAGGTTCCTTTGATGGTCTCGAACCTGATCTTCTTTTACAGTAGGTGGTTCTTCATTGTCCCATGCTGTGCTCTCTCTTCACTGCCCGAAGGATCTTGAACTCCACCATTTCATGGTCACTGCAGTCAAGGCTGCTCTTGAGCTTCACATTCCTCACCAGCCCCTCCTTGTTGCTGAGAACAAGGTCTGGCACAGCACCTCTCCCCTTTCACTCCTTTATCACTTGGAGAAGGAAGTTATCATGAACACATTCCAGGAACCTCCTGGATTGCTTATGCCCTGCTGTGTTGTCCCTCCAACAGATATGGGGGTGGTTGCAGTCTCCTGTGAGGACTGGGGCTTGCGAACGTGAGGCTACTTCTATCTGTCTATAAAGGGCCTCATCCACTCAGTCTTCCTGTAGCAGACTCCCACCATAATGTCACTTGTCCCTGCCCTCCCTTTAATCCTGACCTATAAACTCTTGGTTGGCTCCTCACCCACCTTCAGGTGGAGCTCCATACAAGTAATTAATATTGTGAAATTAACTAAAAACTAAGTTCTCCACAACCTTTAACTGTTTATAAACCCACATAATTTGTATCTAAGTAGGTAAGTAGAAAAACACTGTTGCCCTCTCTCAGCTATTACCTTTTCACCTAAAAACCAGCCACCATTACTTCTCTCACTATTCTTGCAGTGGCTTCATCTTTAGCAAGACTGGTGGACGACTCTCCAAATCCCCCTTTATAAATGAAAACATTACTATAGAATGTCCAGTTCTTTAGAAAGCCCCAAAGTCCTTCATGAGTTCATGATGAAAAGTGTTGCTTTTCCTAGAGCTCCCCATTGACATATTGACAAAAACTGCTAATATTCTTCCTGTAGTTCTCCATCTACTTGAGCACGAGCATCAAGCTCCTACAGCCCCGAAGAATAATTAAAGAAGATATTATCGACTTGTTTTTATGAAGGACTAGGAGTATGAAAAAATCAACTGTCAATCTCAAAGCAACTCTGTGAATAATGATCACTTAAAAGAATTCCAATCCTTTATCATCCTTGCATCATCTATTAGCAACTCTGTTTTCCCATTAAAATGACAGCCAAAGATTTTCCTTTTTCCTTTGTGTTTTCCACATAATAGATAAGCTTTTTCTGTTTTGTTTTATGCTACAAGAACGTGAAAATTCCCATCCTCATAGAGCCAAGTATGGAGTAGTGAAGGACAGTATAACTGAACAGAGATTAGGAAGACATGTGAACTCTACTAACACATCTTAGGCTAAAATGAAACTTTGTCACTTGTGGCTGCTGCCAGGGAAGTTGAACAGAGAATACAGTTAGATCGCTCCAGGGTTCACAAAGTGAAGCCTTTCACAGGGGATAATGGCTCCAGACAGCTTAGGCAAGACCGAAAATAATTAATGGGGGAGATGGGAAAAGTAGTATCGATATTTAGACTCACTGTATAAAGAGAAGCAATCCCAGACCTCTTTGTAAACCCAAATATTAGCCCAGAAAGTTGAGGCTTCCCTTATTTGCTGGCAGCCCTGACTTGTTGCAGTGGAGACATCAAAACAGATGGAAAAAAAATGAGCTTGAAGGAAATGTGAACACAACCAGAGACAGCAAAGCAGCAGTTTGACCAGAGGACTGTTTTCTAAGATACTTGATATCACTGGGATTAATTTTAAAATTTTAAAGCATCATTAAATTTAAATTAAAAAAGAAAAATTGCTTATTCTGTCCCTTCTCTCCATGTAGTATTATCAGAAAATAGAACAGGGTGACTGCAGTCATGGCAGTGTTAGATTTTTAACACTATAGAAACAATCAAAAGGATCATGAATGATCTTACAGTTAACGTACAGCTGCTGAAATCTTGCATTTTCCTCCCTGACCAGCAGAGATTTGATAGCAGTTTCTGTGCACAGGCAATAAAAGAAAGGTGAATAAGTAGACAGATAAAAATAAATTTAGTCCCCTCCCATCAAATAACAATTTCCAAAAAGGTTTTAAAAAAAGCTTGTCAATTTAACGTTGTTCTCAAATAATATTTTCAAACTTTCATTGGCCTGAATTTACTATTTTTCTGTCTTATGAGAGAAGTTTTAGAGAAAAATCTGTCAAGTAAGAACTGATAAATAGGTAAGTCATAACTGAATGACATTATACAAGAATGTAAACAAGGTAACCAAAAGGTGTTAAGTAGAATATGGACAGTAAACGCTTCCTCCATATACATTTCACTTTCATATTTGTTACAGACTCATAGGGGAAAAAAAAAGTGTTTTCTTTATATAGATAATGACCTTTACCCACACGATCACGTCAGAGCTACGCTTATTTAATTCCCTTGTGCAGATCCTCAAGACGACCTTCCTTTTCCAGCCTGCAGGGCAGAGCAATTGTCTCAACTTGCACCTTCATGTCCAAACTTGAATATTTTTGTTGACAACTGCTGCGTGTTTGACTTGCACTGCCTTACTTGCAGCAAGCATGAGTCATTTTCTAACACTATAGAATGCACCCACAGCAGTATACCTGTGAAAAGAAAATCAACAACTAAATAAAAGTGTAAAAAGTAACTTGCCTGTCACTAACAATTAAACACTAAGTAGGAGAGCCAGAAAATCCAGCTGTTGTTCTGTTTTAACGTTATGTTTGTAATGTTTATGTAATTTTATGCTTTAAAGTTTTAATAGCAGTATTTCAAAAATACTGAATACTTATTTTGTGCATGTTGATGGTCTGTGTGTATTGCTCCCTCTAGTGTAAAAAATACAAAATCACAGACGTTCAAAGAAATCACCAAGTTTGTTAACAAATAACCATTTTTTTAAAAGAAGTAATTCTCTATCCACATTTTTTCCCTAAATATTTATAACATTACTTCTCATATATTTTAAAATAAGAGAAGACAAATTTTAACTTAGTTTCAGCTTCTGATCTGGGACTGTCACACTTTATTAGCAGGAAATGATCCGACCAGAAAGGAGTAGTGAATATGCAAATCTACACCCTGTATTTACTGCTATAACATTCCCCAATAGATCTGTAAGATACAATGTGGTGTTCCTTTTTTTCTTCCTCTGCTAGAATACTGATTTCCACTCTGATTACATTACAGTTCTGGTGCCATAGAAGAGCTTGGTCTAAAATGTAGTCAAGCACATTCTCAAATACTCTTATTCTCTGACTATTGTACCTGGTTAAGCCCTAGAATTTGGACATAAAGCAGTTTTGGAGCTTGGACTTCCTTTCCAAAATAGGTATGAAATTCCTTAAAAACACACAAGCCACACTGAAGGATTGACAAGTCTAAGAAATTACTTTAACGCACTCTGAAGAACCACTGGATGATACATAGGATGCGCAGGAGAGCATGGCAACAGCCACAGCCACTGCTGCAAACTTCTGTTCAGGCAGTATCTGGGAGAAATTCCTGGGACAGTTTCCATCACATAAACACAAGAAACACAATGTAGCCTTTCATGCCAGTTTCACCAAAAGAATATGCAGTGTGGTTTGTCAGGATGCTTCACAGGCTCCTCTTAATCAGGAAAGTTTTGCTGTTTAGAATTCTCTTAAGTGCACACAAATACCTGTAAGATCAAGGCAGCAAATTCACCTTCTCCAAGAACTGACAGAGCGGTCTCTGAAGATAAAAGCCAGAAAGTTTGAGTAAAATTCAAACTAAAACTTTCACTGAAGATGGGATTGAACAATTTGTTGTTCAATTGAGTATATTTGGTGGAATGAGTCTGAAATAAACGCAGGCTATTTTTTTGAAGACTCTTAATAGGCAGCCCTAACAGATGACAAGCAGTTCTACTGTCTCAATATTGCACAAATTAAGGTCCATTCCCTTCAAAATGAGCATGGCTATATGACAGATCCTTGAGGTCATTACACAGAAGTTCTATTTAAGGCAAAAAATCAAATATTCATTTTTCTACATGATGTGGCTGTTGTTTATACGACAGCAGCACAATTCAGTGAAGGTCCTTACGGGGTCCCGGCCATTGCTACTCCCCCTAAAGCTCTGTTTCTTGTCAAGACTGAGAAAACTATTTGCTTGATCATTTGTGAATTTACCCAGCTCATTTCTGTAATTATTAAGAGTCCATTATAAGGTAACTGGTCTCAGCTAGTCTACCTATCTAGAATACCTACCGTGCAGAGGGCTCAGTAAGGACGGCACTTCATGCCACAGCAAGAAAGCAATCAGGTTCTTGAACTAGTGCCTCTGTAGCAGCTGTCATGGAGTAAGAAAATGGGCACTACAGCAAAATCTCAGGGGCTAAATTCAGGACAAAATTAACAGTTGAGAAAGAAATTTTATTTCAAGCTTCTAAGGGGGTATTACAAACAATAGAGAATAAAAACATTAAAAACTATTTAAAAAGTAATTGTCCCTTTAAAATAAAGATTCAAGCAGGTTTAACAATGAAGTATGCTATTCAATGAAGTTTTAAAAAAAGATTTCAAAAGTATTGGTTTTGCTGTATTTGCTAATCCTTTATAAAAAAGCTGGGCATAAATACTTCGTGCATTCATATGCATTATTTGGTGTTTCATATTATATAACTTGGTACAGTATTTAAGATATCACTGCAAAAAAGAGTTCAAACACAGTGCATTTATAAATAATGGAGTCATTATAAATCACATTGCAAACATACCTTGCCATTTTCATTGTTACAAATTCAGTATCTCAGTGAAGGTAGGAATAAAGTAGCTACAACAATCAATATCTTGACTTTATTTTTTTTTTTAATATAAAAATGCAGTTCTGGAAACCCACCCTTCTTCTTCCCCCTGCCCAAACATAATGCTTTACTTCTTAAAAATAAAAATAAAGTACTAATTCTATATACATCACATGTACCATACAAAAATGTATCCAAAGTTTCTATTGCTACCAAAGTGTTCTAAATTAAAAGTTACATAAATCCCCTCATCGGAAACAAAAGATTACAAGTTACAAAAAAATCAAATTACACACAAACCATCGAGTTATTTTATACAATTTCCAATACATTTTTCTCCCAAAGCAAGTTGTCTTCTCATGTGCCTGTATAAAAATGCATATCAATATATTTGTCAATTTTATTTTTCATTATAAAGCAAATTAATACATTTTCTACAATAAATAAAACACAGGGAGGCACACATATCAACAAAATTAAATCAATGGGAGATAAATGGGATATGGTTTTGAAAGAAATAATGTGCTTGCAGGCTTTAAGCCAGGTTTGTTCAAAACAAAAACAATCTTAAGTTATTTTGGGCAACAATGGAGTGTTTTTGGTGATTTGCAAGTGATGTACATAGTATAATTTTTTTCTTGATGTCTTTCTCACAAAGTACCCTCCAAAATAATGCAACTTCCTTTCTTAAAATACATATTTGTAATTGTAAATTTACATCAATCTTAAATATGTGGTACTTTGTGCAAAGAGCAACGATTTACACAAACATTCAGAAGTCTTTTTCAGAAGCTACAGACCAAGGAAGAAATGATACAAGCAGCACCATATTGTATATGATTTAGGCAAACATATATTTGATGTCATTTTGATATTAGGCTTTAAGATCCACTAAACACCTTAAGCTGGAAGATGGTGCTTAGGTAATTTAACCTCAGAAAGAAAGAGAGAAAAAAGTAGAAAGCATGGAAACAAATACCAACTCCCTCCCCAGCAAAATTATAAAAGGAATTAAAGAACTACTTCTAAAATCAGAATAAGTTAAGTGTTGAATATACATTTATGTACAATTATGAACACTATGAACAAGACATTTTAACAGGTTTAGTGGAAAATCCTCCAAACTACAACACGATAAAATCATTAATCAATATGGCAATGGTGATTTAGAAGAATTGCTCAACTATTTCAAGTTTGCAGAACTCAGCCACTGAATGAACAATTAAGGGGTTGTATCTTCAATACATTCTTTTAGACAAAGAGGTTCATTAGTACAGTTCAAGTCTGTGTGGTATTTTTCATGCCTTGGTAGAATTTCTGTTAGTCAATATCACTGAAGTCACTGACTGGTTCTCCATGGACTCTACTCAGGTGATTCATAGCACGATCAAAAGCAATTCTTACTGCTTTTCGTATGCTTGAGTTACGTCCTTCCATCATTTTTAACTTGTCTATGGTCTCATCTATCCCAAGGGGAACCATTTTGGATTTAGGAAGCCACTGCCTGTATGAAAGTGTAAAATAAGTATGTTAAATACAGAATAAAATCAAGAAGTTTGTCCAGAAATGTCAGGGCTGCTATACTGTGTTTCTCATATGGAAGATCAGATTTAGCATCTTAAATAAAGTGATACAATTCCTTTTAAGACAGTACTTACTTGCCTTAAATATTTTAAAGAACATGAAATATTAAGAAAGCCTCTTCCAAAAACAAAGAATACATTCCAATTCAATAATGCTTATTTAAAGATTAAGTATCGATTGAAAAAAGAATAGCATGAAATACTGATGCAGTTTAGTTTAAGAACAGGCAGAGCAACTAATAATGAAGGTAACTCAAGATCCACTTGACACAGTATTGTTTCACTCTATTCTTTCATTATTACAAGGAATTGGCAGATGAATTTTTGCCTTACATTTGAGACATCTCAATTTGATCTTTAGGGGAAATCCAAACTGTCAAGGAATTCCTGCTCAGTACCCTTCTACCCTGCAGTATGAAGTCCCACTAACTCATTATTCGGAGTACTTTTCCATTTCAAGCTACATGAATATCATTAACTGTGGGGCATAGAGGAGTGCTAATAAAAAAAAAAAACCTTTACACTCCATTCTTCTAGTTAAATGAAAAACATTCTATATATTTAATTAAAAAGTATAAATTCATTCATTTCTATAAATGTTTCTTAATCTTGTCTTCTTAAATTACAAGTATTAAAGAAAACAAAAATTAAGTCAACTAATGAATTATCTATTAAAGGATGTTAGTGTTGCAATCCTGCAAATGGCAGAAGCCATGCTTCTGTTAAAAAACTTCAGTTTGCAAGTCCATTTGGAGCTGAACCATCTGCAAATCAGACATTAAAAGCTGATATAAAACATTTTATTCAAAGATTATTTTTTTTACCGAATGAAACTGTCTCTTGAAATACTTTTTATTAAAGCATTCTAAACTACAACTCTATTGTATTGAGCACACACACTGAAACCAAAGAAGTGTCAGTACAAGGATACAGACAGAACAGTAAAGAACAGTTACATCATCATGATAAGCAGCAGTCTAACCATTATCAGTTTTAATAGAGATCAGAGGGAAGTTTTAAGAAGGTAATTTTAACAGAAAGCTTGCCAAGTCCTCCAGATGCAAGGGGCGTAGGAGAAGAAACAAGTATCACTATTTGAAAAGGTAATCCATAGGTGATAGAATCTGGTATCATGGACTTAAGATGACATATAACCTGCAAGCGAATGAAAATCACAGATGTGGGTTCAGGAGTAAAAGAGACAAAAGTGAGTTAGGATGATGAGTGCCAAAATGACCAAGATAATCAGGATAAACAAACCATTACCAAAATAAAAGGCGGGGGGGGAGTAGAGGAGAAGAGAGGAAAGGTGCTGGAAAAGAATTTAGCCTTTCCTGTCCATCTATGCATCTGCTAGAGACAGCTTTGCATAGTATTTGCAAGATTTAGGACCACCTCCATATGGTAACAAATCAGAAAGTTTTAAGCTACAGAGAACTCCCAAGATCAGAAACAATCAGAGCAATTAAGAAAGTGGATAGGGATATTTGTGATACCAGTAAGAGAAAAATGAAAAACAAAATATTGAGTATATTTAAATCTGGATTTTATCTATGAACAAAGGCAGAAGAATGCAGGATCTCATGGAGTCCTGCACAACTGAACAAAGAAGATCATGAAGAAGTACCAATTAATTAAGAACTGAAGAACAGAGAGTGCAAGCTAAAGAACTGGTTATGCCAAAGGATTTAAGGGGATAGAAAAGCAAATCAGTTATATATTTCAGGCAAAAATTATTTAGGTGATAGTGTAGAGGGACAGAGAGAGTCAGGAGAATGGAAGCATTTCTAGACATCACATATGATCAGCTAAAGAGGGAAATGAGATCTGAACATGTAAGCAAATTCAAGAATAAAACCGAGACATAAAAAGATTTAAAGCTAACTTGACCCATGTGGAAACCCAGAAATAAAGGGTATTAAGAACACAGGAAATAAATACATTATTTGACGAAAGGAAGAAAGAGAGGTAATTAAAAGCTTCCATACCTTTTCTAGCAAAATATCCAACCAAACAAAAATAAATCCCCCCAACTAACAAAAAAAAATCCAAATCAAAAAGAGCTAGTGAAAGCAGAAGAGAATGTTTTATTGTGTGAATTATCCCTTCAGGCTCCACACAGCATATTGCTGATACCGAAAGAAATGGAAAAAGGGAAGGTTTCATGAAAAAACTTAGAAAGGGCTAAGAACTTCAGATGAGAGTGTTAATAAAGCATTTAACAAGAGAGGTTAAAAGTTTAAAGAAAATGCACTTGAGCAGACTGTGGAAAAAAAAATATTGTCATTAGGAAAGCAGTGATGAAGGCTGATACAGATAAATACTAAAGACTGTTACCTTAAAAAAAACTGTTTAGCCAAAGAAGCAATTTATTCAGGTCAGTAAATGAAACCATCTTGTAAATTAAACCAAAAGACTAATTAATTACTTATATTATTTTCTTCCAAACTGACCACAAAAAGGCATCTTTAAGTGATGATATGCCTTGGTCCAAGAACAGACTCAAACATGAGATTTTAACATTACAGTTGATACTTCCATAGGAATGATAATGTTTCAATTTTCTTCTAGACTAAAGGTTTTTAAAATTTTAAGTCACTGCATCAAACAATACATTCAACAACATACCAACTTCTTTTATTGTCAAAAAATAGTACTAAGAATAGTTTCTCATCTGATTTGGTCTGCATTTGTTCTCCAATTTTCAGCACATCCAGAGGTGGCACTGGTATAGTAACACCGTTGTGATGACCAGCAACACGAGGCATTTTAGGGTCAATAATCTATAAAACAGAAGAAAGGACAGTTCCCAATTTTTAAAACTACATCATTTATTTTCAGGAGGTATTACAAATAAAGTTAATGGGAAAAGAGAATCATAAACAGCCACTACATATAAATTGGCTTTGTGCTACACACTTAGGTAACTTCTTGACATAAACTGAATAGGCACAGTGGAGGGACGGCTATAGATTTTAATTGAAAAAAAAAAAAACAAAAACCAAACCCAAAACCCCAAACCCTATCTCTAGAGCATTTTTCACCCACATCAGTTGTTCTTAAAATCACATCCAAATTCCACTTTGTACAACTCAGCAGAATGACAAGCAGGTTTCAGAAGGAAAAAGTTGAACCAGGGTTTCTAAAAGCTGTAACTGGCCTCAAATTTGGGGGTTTGAATTTCAGATACCTTAAAGAAACAACCTATGTTAAGGTATAGCTATTTATTTCTGCAAAATACAAGTTCCACACTGAAAATCTGGAGGAAAAAAAATCTCTAAGCAATGAAAACCACCCAAACAGAAAACAATAAATCAGAAGTCTCTTTCAAGTATCTTGCATATCCAATTTAATGACTCAGTTTTCTGCAAAACATGCAGTTAGAGTCACAATTTCTTTGTAAACAAAAGTTGGGGGAGTGGCAAAAATGCTGCTAACATTAAACTAATCAAACTGATGGAAAAAGTCCTTTGTAGGCAGATCACAGTATTATCAAGTGCTCTAACAAGGAGGGGATATGTTACCCCATGTCTGTTCCACCCATCTCCCACCCTACAAACTCCTGTTGCTCTTCCAGCATCCACACTGGCACCATCCTTAATCTTCAGTAAACTGATTACAGGAACTAAACCAACAGAAAGCTAACACAGTGGGGAGTTCGTAGAAAGCAGAACAACTTTCTTCTCTTGAGTGAGGTTTAATTCCTCAATCAACTCTTCACACGCAGAGAAACACCAGTGCTGACATAAAGAAGTGGGCAGAAAGCAAGCCCTTTGGTCAGAAAAGAAGCCCTTTGGTCATGATCAGCTTAAATCTAACACTGAAGTGCTAAAACCATTCAAGAGACAATCAAATCATCAAATTTTCAGCATCTGACCCAATGGTGTTCAAGTCACACACTGAAGGCACTTAAGTGCTCTGAATCTCACCTCCACAGGTTTTAACTTGACTCTGTATGATTACATTTCCTGATGTCTCCAGCACACACATATTAAAACAGTCATGACTGTCCAGTCTATTACATAAATCAAGTATATTATACAAACCAAGTACACAAACTGTTTCTGTAACCCCAAATGCCTGAAGCCAAACACTTTATCAATGACATTTTCTCTGCAAACTTTGACTGAAATAGAACTGCGTGTATTTCTCCTAAAATAACACCTGCACAACAGCTTTAATTTTCCAGTACAATCATTCAATTTATTCTGACACTACCAAGTTTTCTGTTTCTATAATGAACTGCAGAATCAGAATATTTTTATACTCATTTTGCAGAAAAAAATATCTTATAGTTCTAACACTAACAAGATGTCAGTTGATCGTTTAACCAATAATATATATTGTAAAAGCCTACTGAGACAGGTGTGCTGGTTTTGGGTGGGATAGAGTTAATTTTCTTCATAGTTGCTAGTTTGAGGCCCGTTTTGGATTTGTGCTGAAAACAGTGTTGATAACACAGGGATGTTTTTGTTACTGCTGAGCAGTGCCTACACAGCCAAGGCATTTTCTGTCTCTCACACCACCCCACCAGCGAGTAGGCTGGGGGTGCACAAGAAGCTGGGAGGGGACACAGCTGGGACAGCTGACCCCGAGTGACCAAAGGGATATTCCATACCATATGATGTCATGCTCAGCATATAAAGCTGGGGGAAGGAGGAAGGGGGGGACATTGGGAGTGATGGAGCTTGTCTTCCCAAGTAACCATTATGCATGATGGAGCGCTGCTTTCCTGGAGATGGCTGAACTCCTGCCTGCCAATGAGAACTGAGGAATGAATCCCTTGTTTTGCTTTGCTTGTGTGTGAGCAGCTTTTGTTTTACTTATTAAATTGGCTTTATCTCAACCCGTGAGTTTTCTCACGTTTACCCTTCTGATTGTCTTCCCCATCTCACTGGTGAAGTGTGAGTGAGAGGCTGTGTGGTGTTTAGTTGCCAGCTGGGGTTAAACCATGACAACAGGTATTGTACATCTCAAAAGATGTGTAGGGTAATAGAGATTGACTCAACATCTGATACTGCAATCCTTTTACAAACTGGATGCATGGAAGAGAAGGCGGAATAGTCTACTTCATTCTATCTGAATGGGAATTTATCAATTAAACTCACACATTGATATTTTCAGACCAGAAACAGTATCACTAGTGTACTGATAGGAAGCTTACTTACCAGAGCTGGGTAAGAGGGATATCCACTGCATTTGGCCCATACTACTTTTAGAGGCTCAAGAACAGATGTTGCAGCATCAGTTGAAATCCACATACTGCTATGCCCAACTTCTAAGAACAAATAATAATTAAATATAAAATTAAAATGTTAAAGAATGAAACCTCAGACATATCTGCAGTTCATGAATATCTCATGATAATTATAATTCAAATACCAATACCACATTTCATGCACGTACCAATAAAAAGCAGGTAATGTTCATAACAGCACTTTAAACAATACTAGTACTTTAATCCACACCTACAGATAAAGAAATTTTTAGACACTTCTAGAAAGAGCATATCATAAAAGATCTTAGTACTCAGAAAGGAAATTCTAGTAATTCCTTCCCTTTGAAAAAGCTCAAAAGAAAGAATAAAATTATGGTACTCCAAATAACCAGTTTCTTTTGAAACTATGATGACAATACTATCAAAGAGACAATGGTCTTGAAGATGTAAGTTGCATGGTATGTTTCCAAGGTGTTTGATATCCATAGCAGGATTAGCACTGATAATTTAAAATGGTTGCCTGGTATAGCTTTCTATTCTTATGCATAAATTCTAATCTGCATTTCAATTTCTATTTATTTTTAATCAGCCTTCTTGGTCTCTCTGCCTAGCACTTTGCTGCAGTGAAGTTCAAAAAGACTAAAAGGGTTCAAAAGAAGCAGCTGCAATAGTGGGTTTTTCCTTCTCAGGAGGTAGCAGAAAAGAAAACTGAGTTTTTGTTACTGTTGCTTCTATCAGTATCCTGTCTTCTTCCCTGTTGCTCAGCATTGGACTGAAGCATGAGACAAGGTTTAAGCCATTCAGTAAACCAGAACTGCAGTTGGCCCCCTAGATACAGAGGGACAGTCAAGAGAATGGGCAAAAGACAGCAAGTTATCCCCTCAAGATAGACTTGGGGGGGGGAAAAGTAGGAGGAAGATAGTGAAATTTCATAAGATGTAAAGATGAAGCGGCATTTGTTGTACAGGGAAACGTGGTACCAAAATACTGTTCAGTGGTTGCACCTGCACTTTTTTTTAGCAGTATGGCAATACTTGATAGAAGTAGCTCTCTATTTGCCAAAATACAATTTATTCCTCAATTCTTCCTAATCTGCTCCTATTTATGATGGGCAATGCTTGTTTATAATGAAATGTGACATGCAGATACAAATTCTATCTCAACATCACAAAAGAAGTACTGGGGAAAAAAATCGTTTCAGACTTTGTAAGAGAAGAAATAGCAAGGAAAAAGTGTTCAAGGTGATCACAACACAAAAAAGTCAATCATTCTTTACAATATACTCTAGGTCTATTTTCACCCATAGGCCAATCCTTTCAATTATATTTTATTTTTACTATATAATGGCATCAGCATTTCAAGAAAATACTTCATTGGAAGTCTAACTTTAGAGATTCACGACTATGTTAACATTATCAAAATGCAGTAATTCGTACTAGTTTGCCACTACAAAGATGTTAAATGTTTTTGAAGATAAAAGTGGTTATAGGTTCTATTATAGGAGTAGGTATCATAGGAGAAAGAGAAATAAATATGATTTTTCCAGTGTCTTTAAGACCTTGAACAAATCTCCTAAAGAAAACAGAGATCTCTGCCATCAATCCCATCAGGCTTTACAGGTATCTTTAATTAGTGGCTTCCATTACATGAAACCATAAAAATGTCTTATTTATACTATTTCTTACTGAATTACATTACCTTGGAAAAACAGTTACTAAATCTATTTACTATTTTATTTTCTTTCTATGTCTTTTTGGAGAGATCACAGTAGGACATTTTTTGCTTTCTCATTAAAAGCCATATTAATGTTAATACGCACAAGTATAATACACTCAGGCAATCTGACAAGAAGGTGGATCAACCAACTGGACAGAGAATTGAAAATGGGACAAAAAGCATGAGGGAGCCCATGAACAGGAGAGCTGGTAAGAATCTTGGATCAGAGAACAAGAAATAAGCAAGAAAAGGACTGGGCAAGAGTTCAGGAGGGACAGGCAGAAGAACACATTGCCACTTCGGCGCAGTAACTTCCTGTCCCTATAAAGAAATCCAAGGCCTACAAACCTCAGTATGTGTCTGTCTGTAGAGAGCAGCTATTAATGAAAACCACTCATAGAATGTGTCTATTCATCTTCCAGTGCTCTTGCACACAAAGGACAACAAGCTATTACATACAGGTAATTCTATTTAAAAGACAAGAAAACCCTACTGAGTCTACAAGTTGAAGGACCAGAAGTTAGAATTCTGAATCACTTTTGAACCTTTAATTCATCCTCTGTATTTATATCTCAATATAATCTCCATATTTCAGTACAGAATACAGTTTTCTGTAATAGTCTTAACTTGTCCAGTACACTGAGTGGACCTGGTTCCAAAGCATACCTCAGCATCACAAGGTAAAAATGCTGAACGTGACAGCAGTATTACAGAAAACAGCATGCCCTAACTTGCACACTTCACTTTGTGATTTCAACAGCAATCTTTGTAACATTGTTTAAGCTTCAACTAACATATTTCAGTGTACAATGATTGCATCCATTAATCACTGAAAAACAGCATCCCATCCTAAGTGCAATGTTACAACATACCATAGGTTCTGAGACAGCATCCTGTAAGTAGAAACAAGATATTCCTTGGACCTAAAACCAGCATAACCATAAGCACTGTTTCTAAAGCATATATATCTGTCAAACAGAACTGTTTAGAGACATTTTGCCACAAATGAACACCTCCTTATTTAAGTTTCTTTGTAAAATCTGGAATTTTACTAACAAAAGTAAAAAATGGTAAAATTCCAGTTATGCACAGAACGTTAAGGACTTTTAACTTCACTCCTACTTATTTTCTCTTCTTGATCTGCTGAGGTAACAGGGTGCAGAAGGCAGTCAGGAGAGCTTAAATTAGACAGAATATATAGTAATAAATAAAATAATGTTGTTAAATGTCATTCACTCCTACTCTTATGCAGCTGTAGAATGTATCTGAGAACAGAAAGAGAGATCAAGGAGAGTTCTGAAAAAACAGGCACAGGAATCCTAAGTGGAAAGTGTTAAATACAGGACTATCTAAGGACAGAGTAAGAAAAACAAATGGAAAAGGTTATGTCCTGTATAAGAGCTCACCACAGATGATAAAGATACTAAAACTGAGAGTAATGAAGCAGTAGCTGAAAATGGATTAGCTGCAAGAAAGAAAAACAAAACTGATCACATGGGGAGAAAAGAACAGACTAAGGCAAACAAAGATAAAAGCACTAGAAAGACATGAGATGGTCTGGACAAGGAACACCCCCAGGATGAGGGGAAGAAAAGTTGTAAAGTCAGACACTAAGGCCTGTTAGACACTGCAAGGCTGATGCCTAACTTCAGCGTGGGAGCACTGCATTAAACAAACAGTACTTGCAGAAAAGATGACCTACTTAAATCTTTAATGCAATTAAAATATTGAAACAGGTGGAAAACATATCAACAGAACATAATTATTTCCCTAAAATTTGGTAAATTGCTATCCTCTACATTCATACAAATTTCCACTTCTTTCCAGTTCCAAATTTTTCTGTAATCAAAGCAGACCATGTCTTACTTATCTGTCAGCAAATTTATGCAGAATAGTATAGGAGTAGTAAACCCTAACCCAACAAGCTGAACAAACAAAAGGATGGACAGAACTACAATAGTACTTCAGGCCAAGTTTCACTTGTATTACTAGAGTAGCTTGATCACTTTAAATACCAATTATTAATCAAAAAAACAAGAACAGGTACTACTCTTTTCAAAGTCTTTAAATTAGAGTCCAAAGCAGAAATCACTATCAACACCATTTTCAGAATGCTTAATGTATTTCAGCAGCAAAAATAAAAATGCTAGAATTTATCAAATAAATGGACAAAATTATATTTATATAATATTCTTATAGTTATACAATATTCTTAAGAACAGATTATTCATAATTACCAGCTGCAATTCTTGCTGCTTTGGCATAGTTTCCATTTTCAATACATGATATCAATTCACTTCGGTCTTCCAGTGTGTGTCTTCGTATAAGTGCAGGTTTACCTTTGCCACACTTTGGCAGGCTAAAACTATTAAAAAAATAGTGTTAAAACGATTACTTGATATTTAATGTTCACTGTAAATCAAGACTTTGAAAAAGCATTTAAAATTAATCAGTACACGGTCAAATCAGAGCAGCAAGCTCTAACAAATTTTATGCAACAAACATAAACAACATAAAAGCCAAAACCCCAGATTATTTTCATGCCCAGAATTGCCTGGTTATCAGAAGACCAACAGTATGCAGATGCACCTTGACTGCTGTACAGGTTATACATGCACAATGAGAGAAGCTACTTTGTCTCCAATGTTACAATGGATACTGTCCGAATGATAAAATGTTCCCTCTGGTCCAACAGTTCCACTACATAGGAAACACAATTATTTTCTTTCATTTTTCACTACAAATTCAAGTCTTTCAGTTGTGGAATGCCTATACCCAAAATAGGAATTCTTTTTCTCTGCACACTTGAGTTGTCTAAGAGATCACAAAATCTGAACAGCAATTATTATCTTCAATATAACACATTTACAAGGGATGCGATATTAAATTCTCTTTGTTTCTAAAAGCCTGTTTGACATGAGTGCTTTAACACCATTCCCTTAAACAGTTTAATACCTTTTTTTTTTTCTCTTCTTTAACAGATTTGCCCTATATTCCTGTATACCCCATCCTCATAGCCCAGGACTGGAGACAGCTACCTTTTACACAGAGACTAGTGTGCTTTTGGAAGCTGTGCACCACTGGTGATGGAGAACTATTTATCACTGGTGACAGAGGTGACCATTCTGACATTCCTATCTTTAACAACAGAGTTCACAAAGAGAAAGTCAATAGTTGGTGTACAGGTACTATTATTACTGCAGTAACTAGCCGGTAATCCAAATCACAGACTGATCATCTACAGTTCCACAGCTACTTAATTTACCTTCCCTACATACAAGTCTGCTTTGGAAATTGCTTCTCTCCACCTCTCACCAAAATAAACACATTCATTCTTAGCATTCAAGATTAGGAAGGTAATTAAAACAAGATATGCACAAATATGTACATGTACCTACACAAAGCAAGAGAAGCGTAGTCAAGTATAAAGTGTAACTGCCCAGATCTGCAATAAGCCGAATTCAACAAAAGGATAATACTAGCAATCCTGAAAGGTGTCTCAGATTTGACACACAATTGAGAAAACTGAAATGCACTATTTTTTCTAAAATGTATGCAATCCTCCAATGTTGGTCTATTAAATTTATCTTTCAGATTTACAGTTTTACCTTGAGTTACACAAAAGACTGTTACTAGATGAAATACTAGATTCTGATGCACAGCGGCGACGAGGTTCAACTTTTCTTCCCGGAGTATCATCTAATGCTCTCTCATTACTTCCATCTCCAAAACCATTTGACAGACCTACAACATAATACAAGAATAAACTGTGTCAAACTGGAAACCACACCATTTGCATTAACAACTTTTTGTAATTACACACTGTATTTATTTGTTCTGTACTTCAAGTATTTTGGTGTGACGAAAAAGAAAGAACATGAACATTAAAAAAGTATTTCATTTCAAAACACAGTATTCTAAATAGGAAGTTCCTGTAGTCGAGATTTTAAGGTAGGATAGGTATTTAGGTGACATTAAAAAAAGTTAAGATTATAATATGGAAAATGTAAAATGGAGTATCAAATCAGTTTTTTAATGTTTCCAACTATTGACAGGCAGGCTGCAGAGGCTGGGTAGAAAAAACAAGGGGAAAAAAAAAAAAAGTAACAAGCCGGGAGGTTTTACCAAGTCAACACAACACTCATTTGAATACAATGTTACAATCCTAAGTCAAGAAATACTCAAAATCCTTTTCAAACACTGGAAGTAAAGAGCGGTAGGGATTCCCTCCTGATGCTTTCTAGTTCTTCTTTGAATTTTTTCCATTTTAGTAAATTCAGAGTGACATTATTTTGTCTGTTTTCTGTGATCAACAGTCAATAATGGGTATATTATTTTTGACTATCCTTCCCCTGGAACAAGTTTATATACATCCAAGGATATTATATTTTAATTTTGTAATTGTACTGAAAACGTAAAAAAGGCTTTTATATTATAAGTACCAATTTGATGGGCTGCCACCAATCCTGCTCTGGATTTGGTAATTCACAAACAGTACAGTTCTTATCTGGTCATTATAGGCCATTGATTAAAGAGACAAATAAAGAGGTTTAAGATAGCGTTCTGAAGACTTTCACAAGGGGGGGTTGCGAGTATATGGAAATGGCTAAAAAAGAAAGAATCTAACATGGACTCAAAGAGTATAAACAGAAATGAACTGGCTATAGTCAATGGCACTAGCCTGCAATTGCTACTGCAAGCTGCAGACTGCAAAGAGAACAAAACGTTAACACAAATTCAATTCTAAGGACATCTATTTCCTTACAGTAAGTTAACGTTAAGTAAGTTAACTTAAGGCATATGACCAGCATGCTTCTCACAACGCAAGAAAGAGTTACTCATCCCAGTCGTCCTATTACCAGTCTTAAAGGTCATCATGATCTTTGTTCATTCAGGCATAGTTAGTTAAATAGGCTTATGTAACTTCACGTGCCTCTTCATAGAGCGTTATACTACAAGACATTTACTCCCTTTATTAAGTTCTAATTCTTCCAGTCTGTCTGCTACAAGGACCTCTGCAAAGAAGGCTGACAACAAAGGAACTTGAGCTTAGCAAGTTACTTTGTACGATTCAGTCATATTTCAAGGCATTTACACACAGTGATTTAAGGGATTTCCCCCTCCACACCCAGGAGACCTTCCATTTGGATTATCAACACAATTTTAGATTTTTGAGAGAAAAAGAATAATATATTCAACGGTTTTAAAGACTTACAGATAAGCATTCTCTTTAATTGTCATTTAGTTGACATTGTAGAACATTAATTTAAGAGAATGTTTTGTAACTCCCATATTTGCTTTGATTTTCTATCCGAGAAAAGAAAATATAAAGGCAGCATTGTCTTGAGTGTTAAAGTACCAAACTACATGCTATTGATTAATCTTGTTCTCATTCTCAGCAAGTATAACTAGTTGGAGATTAAGAAATTTAATCCTAGACTATACTGAAAGACCTGTCAAAACAGAGTACGCTTTATGAGAAAGCTTAAATTCCTCTATAAACTACTGCAGTACACTTCACATAGCATCTGCAATGAAAAGTTGAAAAAACATTCTGCAAAGATAAAAAGATCTCTTAGGTCTCTGCAAATAACTATTCTTTATTCTTAGATATCCTGTCAGACCTATTTTTCAAGTGAGGTGTAGAAACTGTTTTGTTTTCATCCTGCTACAAGCCACAGACACAATACTCATCATTGAGTCATCTAGCTAATATAAATCAGCTATCAGCAGAAATAAGTTAGATCATGGATTATATTTTAAATTTAAAGATAGATCAAATAATTATTGCTACCAGAACCAGAGCACAGCTCAAGTTCCCAATGGACTGAGAAAATGGAAGGAACTATATGTTTATTCTTGTAAGAGTACGTATAAAATGTTTAACCATATGTATGTCAAATATGACTTGGCTATGCATGCATCTCTTATGTACATTGGTTCTCTATGTATATGTATATCCAGGACAAAAAAAAAATAGGGAGTAACTTCACATTTTGATTGCTTCAATCAGTTTATGATTGTGCTGCCGCTGAAATGGACACTTTGGCGCTCTCAGTCTCTTGCAATGACTTCTCACTGCCACCATGCCAGTACCAAGAAATATGTGGTTATGGCAATGAACTAGTTTTCACAGAATCACAGAATTGTCTAGGTTGGAAAAGACCTTGATGATCATCCAGTCCAACCATTAACCTAACACTGACAGTTCCCAACTATACCATATCCCTCACTGCTATGTCAACCTGACTCTTAAACACCAACAAGGATGGGGACTCCACCATCTCCCTGGGCAGCCCATTCCAACGTCTAACAACCTGTTCTGTAAAGAAATGCTTCCTATCATCTAGTCTAAACGTTCCCTGGTGCAACTTGAAGCCATTCCCTCTTGTTCTATTGCTTATTAGTGGGCAAAGCAACCATGTGATTTCCTGATTGCTGATGTTGAGAAACAAGGGGTGAAACAGAAACATGCAACTATAGCAATGGAGACAGCTCCCTGCAGTGGTAGTCCAGTCTCACACTCGTTTAAACATAACCTACATTATGAATTTAATGACTTTTAATTCACTAATGTAGGTTTTTAAGATTACAGTTCGCAGTTTTTTCAATCTGTACAATGGTTACTAACAGTGGGGAAAAAAAAAAAAAAGAACTTTTCTAACAAATAAGGAATACTAAAGTGCAAAAGAATGTAGAGCTTCTCAGAGACATTTCTCTCTTGCTTGTGGAAGTATGAAAAACAAAGTACATGCAGGCATCAGCAGGAGTAATTTTCCTGAATATCAAACCCTGAACGACACGAGCTCACACAGTTTGTGAGACTCAAGTTTATACAGTCCAATTTTCAAAATTATAAGAATAGGCTTTATTTTAAGAATGGAAGACCTCAACGCTTATTCTAAACAAAACACACTCATATCTAGTCACAGATGCATGAGTTCCCAAGTGACCTTGTAACTTGCCAGAAAAATCCAGGCAATAAAATGGTAGTGCTTTATGGTATCACTGATGTGTAAAATATAAAGTTATACTATATTGATATGCTCTAACTGGGAATTTGGTTTTGTAGATCATTACAAAACTCCTTTTCCACGAATCAAGAAACACTCAATCTCCTGTAGCTACTAGAATAACTGAGATTAAAGAAGATCCCAATTTGCTTTAAAGAATTTGCATTTTATTGGCTCAACAGATATTACTAAGAAGGTCAAATAAAAAAAAAAACAAAACATGGGAGAATTAACGCATTCTGCTTTTGCGAAGTAGTAGCCTGTGTAAGCTTGCAACATACCCCTATGAGCCATTTACATTTCCCAAAAGCCCATGATTTTATTAGATCAACTGAGCCTTCTCCACAGTTGTGTAGAAAAAGTTTATTAGGTCAGGTACTTAACTTCTTACACATACCCCCTCAGCAACACCACTGACTGAGAACAACCCCCCTCAAAAAATCCCAAACATCAAACTAACCCCTTCATTAGCGAAGGATTCCTTTTTATTTTTCCAGTGTTCTTAACTTTCTTCAAAAAAAGCAGTCCACTCTCAGAGGCAGAACTCAACTTTTTCATTAAAAAGTAATTCACTAACAGTGAAGTCAGCAATCAATTTTAAATGCAGGGTTACTGCCATTTCCAATCTTCAGCTTCAGTCTGCAATTTACATTAAAAGTTTACTGTCATGTCAATCATGGCATATTAACACACACAACCATTTTAAAAATAGAGAAATGCTAACAAACAACTAAGAAGAAAAAAGCCAAAGATGATCTGCTTGATACTTCTTCTCAGGTTTCTCACTGAAAATTGTATTTATCAGGAAAAACTTCAACAACTTCTCAACAGCAGCAGTCTGTTCTTAAACTGCAATTAAAACTTCAACTGACTACCTACATCAAGCAAGTTAAAACCTTGTTGCCTATGCTAAATCAATAGACAGCAGAAGTTTGGAAAAAATGACAAAGGAAGAGAACTCAAGATAGTCCAAGGAGCAGCATGCTCCATGAATGTACAAAATGCTGCCACAGAATACAGAACTGTGCATTAAAGACTGCAATCGCATCTTGTGGTTCTGTTGAGACAAAAAGCAGAACTTGTATAAAACTACTCTAAAGCAACTGAAACTTTTATTAGGCATAGCTTGATGCAAAACCAAGCATAACCAAATGTAAGATGAAGTGCTGTATTAAAACTACAGCTGAAGAGCTAAGAAATAATAAAAAGTGTTAAATAATTTCAACCCCTAAAAAAAGTGATTGCATTCAAAAACAGAATGCATACAGCGCACCAGCAGTTACATAACATTATTTCAGTTCGTTTTACCAAGCAAGGACTAATCAAGTCCTGACTTGTGCACTCACCCAACACCAGTGACAATGATCTTCATTAAAATATATATATATTAAAGAAAAAGAAAAATGTCTCTCTTATTAAAACTACATAAATGCACAAAAACAGGTAAACTTTTTTTTGGTACACTTTACTTCTCCAAGGAAGATTAGACTGTTTTTTGGGGAAGGGAAGAGGATGGAAATGGAACATCCTTAACTAATCTGCTCTCACAGAGTATGTTCTGGGAGCAAGAAAGCTGGGACTGGTAAAAATCTGCGACCAATTTGTGTCACATATACTACAACATGTACAACTTTTTAACTTACGGAAATGGGGCAATATATTGAATGAAGAGCATAGTTTCATATATGTCAAAGACTTCCTCCAACAGAGTTGTTTTGGTTTTTTTTTTTT